TCAGCAGCCAGGTGGGACTGGAGATGGTTTGCTGTGGGCTGAGGACAGACCTGGTTCAGATGAAGTTACTGTGCTCCTGGCTGAGAAAACAAGTCTCTCTCGTCCTGTTTTCCATGGTCTCCAAAGCTCCTGGGCTGAGTCCTGGTGCCACTGTGGCCATTGAGCTGGTGTGGCCCTGCCAGGCATCACATCACTCAGCCCCATGTCCCCCATGGAACCTGCAGCTCCCTGTGTCCCAGCCCACCCATCCCTCTCATGCCAGTGCAGCTCTTACTGGGGAGCAAAAGCTTTTCCAGCCATCCCTGAAGGCCCTGGAACTCAGCTGCTGCTGCTGCCCAAAGCCCAAAAGTAAGTTTGTGTGCCAGGAATTGGGCTGGGGTTGGGTGGGGATGGGGGAGGAGAGGCCAATGGCAGCATTTGGGCTTTAAGGAATGTTTTTTTCTCTGTTTCTGTCCTATACTTCTGGGCTGATCCCAGGCTGATCCTGGGCTCTCAGAGCAGCAAGAGGAAAAACCCTCTTATTTCTGTGTAACCTCTGGTTACTTGGGACCTTGGGAAGTGCAGCCTGTTCTCTGTGTTGGAAAAAAACATTACTGGATAAAGCCATGGGCCATGGGTGGTTTGTACTCAGCACTGAGGGGCTGGAGCTGCTCTGCTCCCCCAGCAGCTGCCTCTGCTCCCCAGCTCCAGGTCACCCCATCCCACCAGAGCCCCACAGCCCTCACTGGGCAATGGAGCTGAAGTACCAGCAGCTTCTGGGAGGATTCCAAGGGGGGATTTGTCTTCTCCTGCTGGGTGCTGGAGCCTGGAATCCCTCTGGGCACCAGCAAAGCTTATCCCTGCACTGCTGCCCCAACACGTGCAAATGTTTCATGGCAGAGTAACCTGAGACAGGCAAACTCCTTGGAAACCAGGAGGAATTATTTATTTGGTGCAAGTTGAGTCACCGTTTGGTGTTTGCTCTGCGCTGCTGTGTTCCGGTGTTTCTCCTGTCCCTGTGGGCAGGACAGGCTGTGCAGAGTCTGTGGGTGCTGGAGCTATGCTGGTCCCAGACAGAGAAGCTGAGCTCCCCGAGGTCGTTACCATGCCCAAACATTGGGCTGATCCGTTCAGTCACTGAGGTCTGGGAGGAGGACGTGGATGGGGACAGTGCTGCTCCCTGAGGGCCTAGGAGGAGAGGGGGTCTGTGTCCCTTCTCCCAGTGATGAGGGCTTTGCCAGGTCCCACCCCCACAGTTTTGGGGGGCCCAGACTTTGGGAAGGGCAGATTCCTGGGGGGGTTTGACCCTGAGAACCTGAGCCCCCTTGAGCCTCTTGTCCCCGGGAAGGGTTGGTAGCAGGGGCAGAGCAGGGCCTGGAACAAAAGGTTTCTCTGATTCTTCTCTCTAAGGAATTCTAAGTTTGTTTATAAAAAAACCCCAACCCTAAACTACAAAATACTGTGGTGGAAAGGAGGGGAAGCCCCAGATCCAGTCTGCCCCCTGAGGCAGCATGGGCAGGTGAGGGGACAGGAGCAGGACCTGCAGTCTCTGGCAGAGGATAAAGGGATTTGGGAGGGGATTCCTTGCCTGGGTTTATTAGCTGGGGGTTGAATTTTCCTGCTCCAGGAGGAACGCATCAAAATACCCTCAGGTAGATAATAAGGGGTGAAAATCAAAATCTGCTCCCCTGCAGGGCTGGGGAGGGGCAGGGGCAGATTCCCAGAGCCGCCAGGGCAGGAGACCAGCCATGGCATGGCCAGAACGAGTCCTGTCTGCAGGAACAGCAGCATCTGCTCCTTAGAGCTCCTCGTGAATCTTCTCCTGGTCCTCATCCGTCTTCAGCTTCAGCTCCTCAGGTGTGATCTTCCCGTCCTGGTTGCGGTCCTGGTTCCGGAACATGTCGGCGATGACCTTCTCCGGGTCGGAGCTGGGCATGAGGCGACCTTTCCCCTCGGCCACCTGGGTCTTGATGAAGGTGGAGAACTGGAGAGAGGAGAGGCAGAGACGCTACTTAGCTCTGCACAGCTGGCACTGGGCACGGACAGCACAGCCCACCCCGAGGACAGGCCGGAACCAGAGCAGGAGCTGCCCTGGGGGTCCCTGCCCACCCCCAGCAGTGATGCTTTGGGCTGGGGTGTTCTTCCTGCACATCCCTGCAGACTCCCAAGTGCCTGGGGGGAGCAATGCCCTTCAAGTGCTGCTCCCCTGTGCCCCCACTTCCTCCTGCACCCCCCAGCCTGGGCTCTGTTGGTGCTTGGGGCTCACTCACCTCGTCAGCAGGGATCCCCCCGTCCTTGTTGAGGTCCATCTGCTCGTACAGGTTGGCTGGTGGCTCCCCGTGCCAGATGAAGAGGTAGCCCTCGGGAACTCCTTCCTCCATGGAGATCAGCTCCACTTCGAAGCGGAGCACAGCGCTGCCAGGCACCCCCCGGGCTGGAAACACAGCGAAGGCTCCAGCACCACGGGGAGCATGGCAGAGCTCCCTGAGCCCCCTCCAGCCCTGAACCCCTCCAGCCTCAGCCCTGAGCCCCCCCAACCCTGAGACCCCCAGCCCCAGCAGGGGCTCAGCAAGGCAGAACTCCCCAGTTTGTATTGCAGACACCTACTGCCGCTCCCCTACCTCCGCTCTCCCCGTGGCCCAGGTGTGGGGGAATGATGAG